CATGATAGTGGGACAAGAGGAAAGTAAAAGGAAATAGAGGAAAGAACTAGGAGGCAAAGGGCATTTATAAAGGTCTAAATACAGGCATGTACATAGGTAAATATATTTATATATGACAATGGGGAAATAGATCTATGTGCATATATTTATAGGTTTAGTATTAAATAGCAGATGGACATTGGGCCTCTACTCAAGTACTCACTCAATGCAAGAACACTTTGTTCTATTAAACTGGCATTCCATGAGGCTCACCTTCCCAACATGATTACTGAAGACAAAGTGGGTGCATAAGCAAATGTGGTGAAGAAAGCTGATGGTGCCCGGCTATCAAAAGACAGACCATCTGGGGACTCAAAGGCCTGAAGATAAACAGGTGACCATCTAGCTCAGAAGCAACAAAGCTCACATGGAAGAAGCACACCAGCCTGTGTGATCATGAGGTGTCGATAGGATCAGGTATCAGACGGCAAAGAACAAAAAATCATATCATTTGAACAAGGGGGAGTGTGGAGCGGAGACCCAAAGCCCACCCACAGGCAACTGGACATCCCCTTACAGAAGGGCCTGGGGAGGAGACGAGCCAGTCAGGGTGCAGTATAACACCAATGCAAATGTGTTTGGAATGAATGGGCAAAATAGACTCTGTTCTCTTACTATTCCTTTAAGTTTTATGAATATATCCTCTTATTTCTTATTTTGCATTTACAGCTTTTTCTTTTTTTCCTTATGTGTTCTAATGTTTATATTTTTCTACTTGAAAAAATTTTGTTTTTTAAATCATTTTATTAGGGGCTCATAGAACTCTTATCACAATCCATACATACATCAATGTGTAAAGCACATTTGTACATTAATTACCCTCACCATTCTCAGAGCCTTTGTTCTCCACTAAAGCCCCTGGCATCAGCTCCTCATTTTGAAGATTTTTTTAAAGAATCAACTCGAGGATGCTATTTAAGCAGCCATGACAGAATGAATATGATATAAAACTTAGCCTCCCATATTAAACAATGGCGGGTATCCAAGCAGAACATAATGGTCTCACAGAGGTGAAGATGACAGTACTTGTTTTTGACAGATTTAGGAACTAAAATCTGTTAGGCAGAGTAGTAGAAAGAAGAAAGCTATGCAGAACAAAACTTCATAGGATACTGAGAGGTAGTCAATCAATATGACCCTTATAGCCATAATTCCTTATGATGCATTCTAATTCTAGACTCTATGCCTTCCCACATGGAGGGAGATGTCTGCTATGCTAATGGGCAAAACTGTTGTTAGGTATCATCTCGTAGGTTCCACCCTATAGCAACCCTACGCACAACAGAAACAAACACTGCCCGGTCCTGTGCCATCCTCATAATTGTTCCAATGCTTGAGCCCATTGCTGCAGCCACTGTGTCCGTCCACCTCATTGAGGGTCCTTTCTCTTTTTGACTGCTGCTCTACTTTACCAAGCACGAAATCCTTGACAACACGCACAAAATATGCGAGATAAAGTCTTGTCATGTTTGCTGCTTCTACCGAGCAGTCTGGCCTTCAGTCTTCCAAGATAAGATTTGTTTGTCTTTTTGGCAGTCCATGGTACTTTCTTTTTCTTTTTTAATCGTTTTATTAGGGGCTCATACAACTCTTATCACAATCTATACATACATCAATTGTGTAAAGCACATTTGTACATTCATTGCCCTCA